CTTACACCCTCAACCCTTAAACCTAAATAAGGGTTTCTTAAAAAGTTGGGCATTTTGGGGGGAGTCCCCATAACAAAGTTGTAGTCTTTTGAGGTCTATATCGGTTTGCCCTCTCTGTGTAGAAACTGCGAACTCTTTAAACTGTAGCCCATAAACCCGGCACCCTATGACCCTAAACCCCGCAGCCCATACAATCTGCTGCTGTTTGGGTTTGAGCTGGCCGTGCCCGTGTAGAAGCAGCCTGCGGCCAGGCAAGGGTAACACTTAAATTTAATTTGGGTTTACGGTGTACCTGGACCCTAAAAGTATGTAACACAATAGCCCTAAACCCCCAATAATAGCCATAAAGGCCATTATTTTACATGCTTTTGGCGTTTAGGGTTAAGCTTTGAGGGTTTAAGGGTTCAAGGGGTGAGGTGTCTAGGGCTTAGGGATATGTCTTCAGGCTTAAAGATTTAGGGGTGAACATTTGTGGTGTTGGTCAAGATTACGGGTAGGTTTCAGAGTTCTAGGGTTCATACAAAGGGATTACAGTGTATGTAGTTAAGGTAGGACAGGCATCGAATTTTCAGTATCTAGCCAAAATAGGATACCCCTGATATCCCCCCAGCAAGCCTAATCCCCAAACCGTAAATTCTAAAACCTAGACTCCAAACACTCAACCCCAAACCTTCCCAGATCCTAACCCCAAACCCGAACGGTGCCACCAGGGAGATCTGAGCTTCATTTTAAAGGCACCGCTGTTTTGATTCATCTGGCTAGTGTTCTTTGTGGTGGTGGTGGTTTAGGGCTTAGGCTTTGTGGCTTAGGGTTTAGAGTTGAGGGTTTAGGTTTAGGGGTTTAGGATTTAGGGTTAGACTGCATGCACGGTAGTCCCCAATACAGAGTAAGATGATTGCCTCGTTTTGTCACCTACGATGAGCCATAATCCTCGTATCCCCTTAATAGCCCGCTCCCCTATATAATCCCCTATATAACACCCTTTAAGTAGTTTAGATCTCTACACCCTAAACCCGCTATAACCCCCTTCAGGGATTTTAGACGATAGCCCACAAAGTTACAGGATTCCTTCCCGGTTGTGATGGCATCCTCCCGGTCTGAAATTGAAAGATCCTGAAATCATGGGTTCCCCAACCACTCCCTTATACTTGGGGTTTAGGGTTCAGCGTTTAGGTTTTAGGGTTTTGGCCCTATACTACCCCCCCTAGGTTCCCACTTAATTGTGCACCGTAATTGGGCCTGATGCTCCCTAAATAATTCTAGTTAAGTGGGAGCCTAGGGGGGTAGTATAGAGGGCCGTAGATGGGATGAAATTCAAGGAAACTCTTGATCCTTGCGTGGTTCAGACTTTAGTCTTACTCGGAGGGTCAGGGGGGTGTAGTAGGTGCATTAATGGCCTCTACAAGCCATATACCGTAGCAACCCCAGTTATCCTCATTATTAATCCACTTACTACATGTCCCTGACCCTCCAAGTATACGCTCCTTGGAAGTTTCTTTGGGCAGTCATAGTTTTCTCATTGCCCTCGCAACCCTAAACCACAAAGCCTATGCCCTAGACCAAAAATTAACTCCTATTGCCTGGCAGTCGAAACACTGGGTGCTAAAGCGCCAACCCTAACTAAAGCCTAAACCCTAAGCCCTACCTAGACCCCCCAAGTACCCTCTATAGACCTTAAGTATCCCCAAATAAAAGCTACATAGACCCTATTTTAGGTACTTGGGGGGTCTAGGTAAACCCCAAACCCTGAGCCCTGAATCCTAAGCCCTTGACTCTGAAGCTTCGGCCTCGGGCCCTTAAAGCTCGAACCCCGAGCACTGATCCCTGAAGCCTAAGCCCTTGAGCAACCGTAGGCCCCTAGACCCTGAAACCAAAGTCGCATCAAACTATGATATAGTATTATAATATAGGTTTAGGGTTTAGCGTTTAGGGTACTAGAGCATTATATTCTAATATTATACCATACTATATTGTACTATAATACTATACAACAAGAGATAGACCCCAAACCCCGGAGGCCTGCCGCTGCCGGCGCATGAAAGTGGATGCGCCGAGCAGCCAAGTTGAAGTCGATCATGTCATCAAGGTGGACGGCAGCCACCAGGCAGGGTTAAGGGTTTAACGTTTGACGTGTTTAGTGTTTAGATTTCAGGGTTTCCGGCTCGCGATTTAGGTGGGTTTCGAGCGCAGCGCTTAGGCCGTCAGGTTTGTGTCTAGGGGACAAGGTGGACAGCACTCAGCAGGCAGACATGTGGGAGCTTCTCAAACTTGATCCCCTGCTACGAATACTTGCCTCAAACCAAGTCGGGGATGCAGTTTCCAACCGCCAGCCTGCCATCTTAGCGTCGTGTGGAGTTAATCGTTTCAGTGACAAGGGAGACTAGCTGAATCTTGATCTGCGAGTGCACGCCGATCAAGCCCCATCAAACGTGCCTCGAGAGCCTTTTGTGCCCACGAGGTTGGGAGCGAGTAGTCCCCTCCCCCTATATCAAACACCCGCACCCCCCTATTATGAAATACTCCCATTCTGAGGTTGTTAGTTATCATATATTGGGAGTATCTAATATTAGGGGGGCTCATCAATATTAGGGGGAGTGAGTAATGGCCTGAACAAGTGAGATCAGCGGTGGTTTGTAGGAAATGAAGAAATCGACTTATATAGCAGTCCTCACATAACACACAGCAAAGTAGCAGTCACAAATTCGTTTCCATTTTTTCATTGCCTGCGTATAAACTGTTGGGTACGCATTAACTGTAGCTGTAGTTTTCGCCCAACTGTAGCCATTCTTGACGGCCTTGGGGTCTCATTATACTTGGGTCATCTGGGTAGGCCTCTGGGACGTTTAATATTTTCCCCAATGGCTCTCATAGGGGACCATATATACTAATATTTTTCAATGGGCTTTAGGGGCCAACCTAGTCATAAGCAGGCTATAAGTTATAAGTGGCCAAGCGCTGGTGAGCTGTTGTGGGACTCCTGGGTCTCAGGGTGTTTATAGTCTGAGGCCCTTCTAGGAGCCCTTAACCCTTCAAGGGGCTCTGGGGCCCAAAACAGGGCATTATAACGCATATACCAGGTATGTAAGGGCCCTGGAGAGGCGAAGCCTAAAGCTTTTTGGAGCAATGCGGCTACATTGCGCAGTAAAGCCTCAACCTAAGCGCAGCGTAGCCCGACCTGGATAGTACGCCTTTGCTTGCGAAGTTCAACTCTTGTCTCTTGTGACCACGGCAGCAGCGCACCACCGCGGGTTCCACCGCTGCACCACCGGTGCGAAAGAAGCACCAGCAGCAGCAACAGCACTAATGATTAAGTTGTGACCCTTGAAGTTTGAAGTCTTCATGCGCTATGCCAGGCGCCCATCCCTTCGGAGACAGATGTGATTGATCGTAATGAGGCTGGACCACTGGGCTGGAAGCTGAGAGTTTCAGGTAGAGTGAAGTTTGGCTACAGGAAGGCTTCGCAACTAAGGTTTCGAGTCCTTGGTTTAGGGCTTTAGGTTAGGTGTTTCAGGATCTAAACCCAAAACCCCTAAACCCT